ATTGCACACATACTTTCCACTCTTGGTGTCAGTGCACCCTGTGCACAATCATCGGAAACTTTCTCCCTTAGTATACCTGTTGTGCAGGTTGGAGACCTGCTGCTGCTGCATGCCACTGCATTCAGTTATCAAGGGCAGAGTCATCCTCAGCCTCACTCTGTTCCTTCTTTCTTCCTGTGATTTTTGTTGGAACGCTCATCTATACCAGAACACTTATTTTTCTACAGCTAAAACTTACTAACTACACACAATTCACAAAGGTGAAGAGAAATAATTTAAATTATTTTATTTTTATTTGATTTCCTCGTTTGGAGTTTTCTATTCAAGGTATACCCTGGTCACTGGGTTTCAAGCCTTCTTGCTTCAGGCCTATGCCAGTGAACGACCTGCACAATAACTGCCTGAAGTGCTTGGGGGAAGCACATCTGAAGGAACAGTACCAGATTCGCAGGGAGTTCAAGCCTTGGACGAAGAAGGGTAGAGAGGATAGGCTGAAATTCCAGCTGGTGGAGGTGATGCTCCAGCCACTCTTGGAGCCATTCTGGTCTGACTCTATGCCAAGTACTGTGGCTTCAGGGAGAAGTGATCTCCAACTTTAGTGGAATCCCAGTACTGTCCTCCCTTGCCTGAAGAGAGGAAGAAATACAAAGCTTCCAGAGAGGCACTGGCCGGGGAAGGTCTCCACCCTCTAAGTCTGATAAGAGGGTTGAGGGAGTTGAGTAGAGTGCACCTGAAACCTAAGCACTCCTCCAAATTGGTGCCAAAGCCCAGTTGGCTCTGGTTATGCAAGGGGCACTGGCTCAAGCCCGGTGCTGGAGGCAGCACTGTCAACTTTTTTGGCACCACTGCAAGAGACCAACTTGGTGCCAATTGCCCCAAATGCATTTATGGCAGAAAGAAACCTGCTCTCCCTCTTGGTGCAGGTGTATCCTTCCTTCCAGGAATCTGGTCCCTTAGGACTGCTGCCACTTGTGCCTGCAATTCAGCCTCCTGTACCACAGGAGGAGGAAGCTCCTCGGTACTATCAAAGGGAAACCTGATCACTCCCACCATCCAAGACCTTGCCCTTGGTGCCTTTGTGGTGGCATTGCTCCATTGAATACCAGGCTCTCAGCACCAATCCCTGGCACTGACTGGATCGGCCCTGCCATGGTCAGAGGAAGGGGAATCCTTGTTGTTGAACTCGGACGTGGGTTCTTATGGATCACAACTCCAAAGCAGGACCCACTGGTCTCCACACAGATTCTCTCTTCCCACTTCCCACTGTGACCCTTCAAGAGACTTGCCATGGGAAAGTGGCCAGAACAGTGGTGCCCTGCCCCATATCAGTGTTCATTTTGGAGCTCTTAAGGTTTTCCCCCAGCTTCCAGATCTTTCCCACAGAATGCATATTCAGTGCCCTTGTCTAGAAAGGCTTAGTCTATGCACTGAGTAGCTCTGTTCCCACAGTTTACCACACACAATTGCTACTGGCAGCACACAGACATTATCACTACTGTTGAAGCTGCACTTGCTCAGTCCAAGTGTAAATTGTTACATCTGCCACTACTGTGCCAACTTGTTGACGTAATTGCTGGTTGAACTGCTTCAGCAGTACACTTGCCCCATCCATTGCAATCTCTCAATGCTCTTGCTCACCCTTAAGTTACAGATTTGGAGGCTTAGGGTACTGGCTCTGTCCCATGTCAAGATGACTGCACACAGGCCCAAGAGCAACTGAGGTGGTATTTGGCTGATCTCTCTTTTGCTCAGCTATCTCCACTAGCTCCTGAACCCCCAGAGCAGCAGAGAAGGACATGGATGGAATGAAAATGATAACTTTAGTCTCATGGCATATCAGCTGGGGGGAGGGGGGGAGGTCAAAACCCAAAGGTTGGTTGGTTAGTTAGACCTGCATGAGTTTCCCAAAGTGTGCATATTTTATTAGGGTTGCCACAGCTTTCCACTCGCTACCTCAGTAGCATCTGAGACCTGAAAAAGAGAGTAGAAATAGATCACTAACTACAGTGAGTAACAAAGCTTGCACTCATCTACCGTCTTACTCATCCCCAAGAAGAAGTGCATCTCCCCCTTTCTCCCCATGTCCCACCTGCCTTAAGAGGAAAGGGAAGAGCAACCTTTAGTTCAACCCTAAAACCAGAATGGAGAGAAAATAATTGTTATTGAATAAATGGGTGAAAGTGAGCATCTTATCTTCTCGAAGCACTGGTGCCTTTGCATTGGCAGTGATCACCAGCCCTTCAGGTCCAGATGATTCCCACAGTTTGAACAGAGGTTTGTGACTTGTTCCTGGTGCACCTGCAAGTGTGAGCGTGCAGGAGAGCATATCCCATGCCTTTCAGTGCACATGTGTTTCTTCCCTTGCAGGATAGAAATCTTGAAGCACCCGTTGGAATAAATAAAAAATGTGAACAGATGCAAATATGTTTTAGTTTATCGCTGTGTCTGCTTTACTGAGGCTATTGTGGGATAATACACAGATCTTGCCTACAGGTCGCAGGGTTGCTGATGTGGATATGATGTACATATCTATAATGTGGACATACTGCACTGGTGCAGGTTGCAAAAATACAGTTCTCGATCTGTTTTTATATATATTTTCTAATGTGTCTATCATAGTGGCACTGAAGTGTTGTCAGATAATTAAGAGAAAAATAATCTTTGCTTTGAGATTGGATTTTAGAGAGGATAAGCTGACTTCACCTGTTATGTATTAACATTGTAAACTATGTCTAAATAGAGCACTGGATGTAAATAATATATGTATGATTAAGGGTTCAGTGTAACCAACAAGCCCCACTGGAATTGTTTTTATCAGAACTTTTGCTTGTAACTTAAATTGCATATGGTACCTTGTTAGATTTGAAACTTCTTGTAAAATCATCTGTGATAGCTTTTAATCCTTTTATAAAAATCTTTGACTGAACATTTTAATATAGAGGATCCAATTAGTGATTTATAGGGACTCTTTTGTAGATCACTTTAATATTTCAAAATGTAATGCAGAAAACATTTCATAAAGCTTTGACCAGTGTCTTGGTTTTCCAAGTAGCAAAACAGTACATCTGATTTTACTTGAAAAATTTTCATTGGCTACCTGTACAAAATAGTGGCTGTTAAAAAGACACCAACATACTGAAAATATTGTTTTCCTGCAAATTAAACATGAATTACTTGTAAGCTTGCCCTACATTTACTGAAGCTTAAAAGGATCAAAATTGCTGTGTCAGTCTTATTGCAAAGGCTGAGTCTAGTTTAAGTTGCTCTGTGAAGTAAATGCCCTCTGATGTTTTGTTTTTGTTGTTGTGTAATCATAACTCAAAACAGTATTCGTTAGTGAAGTTGAGACTTGCAGCCATCTTCAAACTTTTGGTCCTTGTATAGCTGTAAAGCAGATCTACTACACAAGCATACATGATGCTGTTTGTTAGTATGATACAGTACATTCTGAGGTACGACACACTTTAGTCTGTAGTAGTAACTATCAAAGCAATAGCATTTTTAATAGCTTTGGGAAACCAGCTTTGGCATTTTAATTATGAACAGCCTAACCCCAAGACTGCAATCACTTATTCATTTCCAATATCCCAACAGACTAGCATATTTTTGAACAATTTTACTACAGACTCCTCTCAGCAGAGATTTCACTAGAGCTACATTTGAGATCCCTTTCCTTGAGGGTAAACGGACCTCTCAAGCTAAACCAGTCATTTGTTCTTGTTTAGATATAAAAATTTTATTAAAGTGAATGTTTAAAATTAAATATACACAAGTTAAGAGGGAAGGTACTGTACATCTGGGGTCAGGCTTGGGTTATGAGGGATTACAGGTGTCGGTTGCAAGGGTGAAGAGATGCATACATATCAGATAACCAACATAGACTCAGATTGGGGTGCAAGGGTTTTTCAAATGTCAGTGGATCAGTGGGCTCGCTAATAATGCCAGACAGGCTTTGCAGACTCACTTGTGCTTTCATGTACACTCTTGTTATCAATAATGAAAACACATCTATCCAGAATCTTTATATCACTAAGCTTGATAAATGGTTTTTTAAAAAACCCTCTGTAAATGTGGAAATGGCTACTAGAATTTACTGGCAGAGCTAGATCATGGGAAATGGTTTGAAAGGCATCTGTGTTCAGGCATAACTGTTGCTGCATAAACTGAAGTAACTGACAAACTGATCAATGCATTGGGTGCCTTCCTCTTGAGCCTCCAGAACTGATGTCGGTAGCTTAGTAAGGATTATTGTTGCTTTTTCTTGAAATGTGATGGTGGTTTAAAAGAATCTCTTTAAAGGACACTGTCAGAAGTAACCCCACCCCATCCTCAATCTTGCTCTTTTAAAAATATGTATATGATTCCTGATGTTCCATCCCACCATCTAAAATAGGGGCAACAAAAATGACTTCCTGAGTGAGAGTTGTAATGTTGTAATATCAGTTCCTCACTTTGGTATCCCATGGACCTGCTGTGGACGAAACCTCTATAGCCTCCAGGAGTGACAGTGAGTCCTCTCTGGGCTTGTATAAGCACAAGTGCTGCTTTATCTGTACTGCTATAGTTTTGAAGTATAAAGGTTTGTCTACTGATATATCTTTATACCACTATAGCTATTTTTATACTGGAAGGAAAATAAGCAATACGGGCATAAGGCACCTCCATACCAGTATAACTGTGTCTACACTCTGGATTCTAATTATATAACTATTTTGGTTATTTAAAAAAAACAAAAACTCCTCAATCCTGACAGTTTTTATACTTGTACAGAAATTGTGTGTAGACCAGTCTCATGCATAACCATCGCCCAACTGCAAAACCATCAGCTAGTCTTCAGCTAGGATTTTTAACTGTTCCAGCTCTAGATTTGGAGAGTTGATATTTTTCAGTACCAAGGTAGATCTCTTTTTAAAAGGGATGTTGTCAACTCAGTTTTTTTTTTAAATTATCAGTTTCTGATAAGAGCACCCTTTACTTAGTAAGTCTTGATTAAAAAAAAAATTCTATTCCCTTGTTGTTTATGAATACCTATTTTAGCAAGTGAGAAATTGGCACACTTTTCAGCAGAAACAGTGAAAATTATACGAAATGTGGCGGAAAAGAAGCATCTCTTTTACTTCTTTCTGTTAGTAATCTTAACTGCTACCTATAACTATAGTATGCACAAAATTTAGATAGAAATGTTTGGGTTTTTTAAATTGACTGTGTTCCTCTAAAGTGAAACTTGGGTGCTTTTTAAACGTTGGGCTTGTCAGCCTTGCTCTAGTTGCTTTATGAAGCTGATTTCAACACCAATCCTTTCCCCAAATTGAACTGAAATTTTTTTTAAGCTAGCAGCTTTCACGTATCCTCACTAAAGAAGATGGGACAGGTTATTCAGAGAAGATAAAAACAATTGCCCATAATTTAATATTACAGATGTTCTAGAGCAATTATGCAGTTGATGTATTTAAGGACATTGTACTTAAACATACTGGACCTTTCACTGTTTCAGAACAGAGCAAACAAATTTTGGCCTTCTATAGTGTCTGTACTGAAGGCATGTAAGCTGGCTTGAAAGTTCTGTACAGCATATATAGCCAATTCTTGCTACCTCTGACATCAGTTGCAAAACTCCCATTGCCTTCAAAGGGAGAAGGTTTAAATTTGTGACTAAGACCCTGATTCAGCAAGGTACTAAAGCAGGTGCTTAACTAACTTTAAGCATGTGACTACAGTAGTCCCATTGGCTTTAGTTTTAAGTTAGTTTGGTATATGCGGGCAGTTAAAGGCTCTCTAGCTTATCTAACGTTTAAATTGCAGCCCAACTCTTTAGTGGGGAGTATAGTTTACACATCTCTGGCTGTAGGTAGCTGTGGGAAGCCAGAAGTGTGCCTTAAAGGCTTAAGCAAAGGCTTTTTTCATATGACCCTATTCCCTTCTAAATTTTTCAGCAGTGAGAAATGTCAAAATCAAAACTGTGTAATGTTTGCCTTTTTAAAAAAAAGCTGTCTTAATTGTGATTGATTGTGTATCAGTAATGCAACGTTTTCCAGTGATTAAAGCCCCCCTCTCTGTAGCCTATTTAACACTAGAGTCTCCCATGACACCGTAGCCACATGATCTGCTTTCTCACATTCCTATAATTTGTTTTTCTTTTCTCTTGCTTGTCTCACTTTTCTTGTCACTGTCTTTTATCAGGTTAACTTACATTTTATGCTTTTGTTTCCCTTCCCCTCTCTGACCAGATCTCTCCTCCTCCTCTTGCTCCCATATCTGTTGTGAGTGTTTCCCATTGTATGTCTCCTCTTCCTCATCTTTCTGTCTACAAATTATTCCCTGCTTTGTTCTTTCTCTGTTGGAGCTGTTCCTTCACCCCACTCCTGTTTATGGGTTGTTGTTTTTTATTTTCCTGTTCTCCTTGTTTTAGGAGAAAGCTGTTGCATATTCTCTCACTCCTTTCTTTTTTCCCCCAACCACATCCGCTATACAAGGCTATTCCTTGCCTGGGATAGTGCAGAGCAAAGACCTGTGTAGCCCCACCTTAGTGGAGGAGGGAGAACAGAAACTGAAGACTGCAGGCACAGTTTCCAGGAGACTCTAGAGAAGCAGGTACACCCATATGTTTAGGCGTGTGTCTCAGATTGGGAAACAAAATGCTGTGCAGTTTTCTTGTTGGCTTTGGAGAGTTAAATGTGAAAGAAGGAAGAAAACAAAGGACCAAAAACCACCTAATTATGGACTCAGCAATGGAATATTTCCACTGCTATATTGAAAGCTGTAAAGATACATGAAGTTGCATGATATCTACTAAAGAATGTTAGCAGAAGTGATTTTTGTTTAGATTAAATGATTTTTAGATTTGCAGGTCTGCTTTGTTTGAAACATCAGACTACAGAATAAATTTTAAATTTGACTATTAACTGTTGTATAATGGTTTTCTGTGACAGGACTAGTTTTTTATACCCATCAAATCTATGATTAAGGCTATGTTTTAGTCACAGGTATTTTTAGTAAAAGTCATGGACAGGTCAGGGGCAGTAAACAAAAATTCACAGCCCATGACCTGTCCATGATTTGTACTATATACCCCTGACTAAATCTTGGGTGCTCTCGGGCTGGGAGTGCTGGGGAGGGTCTTGGCGGGGCTGGCAGGCTCCCTACCTGGCTCCACGCAGCTCCCCAGGAGTGGCGACATGTCCCTCAGTTCCAAGGCAGAGGCACAGCTGGGGGGGACTCCGTGTGCTGCCCCCACCCCGAGCGTCAGCTCTGTAGCCCCCATTGGCTAGGAACTGTGGCCAATGGGAGCTGTGGGGGCGGTGCCTGTGGGCAGAGGCAGCACACAGCTGTCTGGCCATGCCTCTGCCTAGGATGGAGCTGAGGGACGTCACCGCTTACGGGGAGGCCGCCGAGGTAAGTGCTGCCTGTGCCCCTACCCCAGCCCTGAGCCCCCTCCCACACCCAAACTCTTGCTGGGGTGCGGGAGGGGCGTGGTGGCCTGAGACTGCCCCAGCAGCAGCCAGTGTGGCTGGTCCAGGGGCTGCCCGAGCTACTCAGGCGGCCCATGGGCCAGTCGCACCAGCAACTGCAGAAGTCATGGATGTTCTAGAAAGTCACAGAATCTGTGACCTCCGTGACCATCACACAGTCTTATCTATGATTATTCAGTATTTAATAGAAATTTCTTCTTTTCAAAAAGAAAGCAAGAAAGTAAATTGTGACTTAACAAGTTTTTAAACTCAACTCGGAATTTTTTTCTGAACTCATTGTAGAAGAGAAAGCAGACATCTTCAAGAATAAGTTTATTCTTATCCTGTCAGTGAAAGATAAGGCTTCTTATTCACTGAAGAAATTTGCCTGCATTCTTGAGTTGAAACAATCCTGAATCTACTAAATGAAGACAAGTTTCATCCTGATTGAGACAAAGCTAATTCTAAAATAGTCTGAACAGTATTTCATATCTTTTTCAAAATAAAATAGGAATAAAAATTGTCCTACAGTTCATGTTTTCCCATAAGTCTTCATTAAAACTCCAGGAATGAGACTTTAGATCAGAAATTAATCCTGTCTCTCCTTGACACTTGCCAAATGTATACCCATCAAGCAGAATTTTTGCTTATTTTGTTCCTCTACCACTTAATTAGTTGATTTGAAAAATTCTAAAAAATTGTGAATAATTGATTCATGTTTATGGTGTTTTGGGGTCATACTACTTGTTCACTAATATTCATGTGATAGCCAGTATACATGAAAACGTACCTGGTACAAATTTGTGAATAATGTGTCCCCCTCCCCCTTCTCTAGTTAAGAGACGAAATATTCAGTAGAAAGCAGAAAACATACTGAATAACCAGTCACACACCATGAATAGTAAATAGTTCATCAGCTGTTCACTGACTATCTGGAATAATTTTCAAAAGGCTCCTAAATCAGTTAGGTACTCCTAGAAATTCTACTTGGTCTGAAAACTTAAGCATCTGAACTATTAATCAAATAACATTCTGAGCTGTAAGGATTGTGAATCTCTTCTTCCCCCAAAATACCATATTGTAGCCTCTAGCTTTCCTATGAAAAATGGGGTTCCTTTTTTTGGGGCGTCTGATTTTTCACCCATTTAAATCCATAGTAAAGCCTCCTTTGATTTCAGTGGATACAGAATTGAACCTTTTGTAAAATCATTCTTAAAGGAACAGCTAGTTTAAAAATCATTTTTAAAAAATCCTTGCTTACAAATAAGTGTCCCAAGAAGGGATTTTAATTAAACTTAAAAAGAACAGGAGTACTTGTGGCACCTTAGAGACTAACAAATTTATTAGAGCATAAGCTTCAGATATGCATCCGAAGAA